ATATATATATATATATATATATATATATATATATATATTCATAGCAATGTGTGTGTCGATACGAAGGATCTAACGGCCTTGCACTCGTCCACAACAAAATTATAAAAAGATTAAAATACGCGCAAAAGAAGAAGAAAAAAGAAAGAGGCTTTTACTTTTCTCGCGTGAAACGAAGTGTTGGACTACCCCTAGTGTTGGAAAATTGCTCAACGATGAATGATCTCTCGTCGACGTGATTAGCTATATTAATCACGTGATTAACATTGTGATTCAACAACTGTTTTGTAGAGAATTGGCCAATCTGACGTTGTGCGGCTGAAATGAACACTAAACGTACCAAGCGGGGTCAAATGACCCCTTTTCAAAATTTACTATTGTTACTTCTTTCGCTAATCTGACTTTTTTGTAAATTCTTGTATTATCTGATTATTCGATTTCTCGTTTTCTGTTTTCCTCTTAGCTTATTTCTCACTTAGGAAAATTCTTTGCATACCTTATTTCATAAGCAAATTACAATTAACAGGATTAATGGATTAATGTTTGAATAACGCATTGAAATTTAGGGACAAATATAGTCAACACTGATCTTGCGGTCAAAAATGACCAATTTCTTATTTTGTGCCAGATATATTTCAAAAGATTTAAAACAATTTTTCCATTACAAATAAAAGCTTGTATTACATTATAAAGTTTCTCTTGTATATTATATGATCAAGATTCTCTATTTTCTTTTTTTTTTTTTTTTAATATCAATCTGCCTCTGACATGGAAATTTTATGCTTCAATTGTTGATAGTGTCCCAGTAACATTAACAAGTTAATGGATTAGTATTCGAATAACGGGGAGAGTACGTAGTTGCTAGACTGAAGCCCAATTGGAAGAATATTGTCATCCCCCTTTGTTTCAAGTGGCCCCCGAAACAAAAGAGCGTCGAACGTCCTAGGTTGATCTCCGTGAGTTCGTCGCCGAATGTGAGATTCCACGGGAAATTCTCTCTTTATACGCCTGTTGGCAGCGAGCCCGAATGAGCCGCGTAACTGCCCCAAACAATCCGACGTTCCAGACCGTACGGAGCGACGTTCCAGGGAATCCCGTCCGTTAAATTGTAGCTGTAAGTAGTTACAAGTGCAATTTGTAGATAAGCGGTTCAACCTGTTACTTGTTACATTTAGAAATTGGCAATTTCTAAATTTTCGACGGCGGATCTTGTTGTCACAGTTTATTTTACAGTTCCATTTAACAAGAAAGAGAGAGACTTTGTTGTTGAGTCAAAATTTCAATCAAAGTCTAATAAAGTTGATGTACTAAATTTTGCAAGGCTGATTTTACAAGCGAGTGAAATGATGGATCACTTCATATGCAAGTTTAAGTTTATACCAGTTTAAATTTATATAAGTCTATACAAGTCAAAAATCTAAGTTTGTACAAGTTTATATAAGTTTAGTCAAAGTTTAACTCAAAGTCTAATAAAGTTACTGAATTCTGGTGGATCATTTCACATGTAATGATCTACAAGTTTAAATCAAAGTCTAACAAAGTTGATATACTAAATTCGACATAGCTGCAACAGTCAAAGTTTATATCAATTTAAATTTATGTAAGTCAAAAGTATAAGTTATTAAATCAAAGACTAATAAAGTTGGTTATTGAATTCTGCATGATTTGGTGGATCATTTCACACGCAACAGTCTACAAGTCAAAGTCTAAATAAAGCTTGTACACTAAATTCTGCATGGCTGATTTTACAAGCGTGTGTATCATTTCCAAGTTTATGTCAGTTTAAATTTATACAAGTCTTATATAAGTCAGTGTCAGAGTTCTTTGTGATTTGTTGCATCATTTCACACGCAACAGTCTACAAGTCAAAAGTTCAAATCAAAGTCTAATAAAGTCTGGCTGAAGCACTAAATTTTACATGTGAGTGATTTTACATGGTGGACATCGTACAACGTCTCCTCTGGTTAGCTGTTAAAATGGCCGAAGATGGGAGTGTAATCGATCCGAAAGGGGGTACCAATGCTTCATCACAGGTCAATAGTCCCCTATTTCCTCGGGCCAGGGTACCCTTGAGATTGTCTCTGGGCGATGGTCGACTCATGTTCAACCGTATTATTCGCCGATAAATCGGCCGAGATTGTCGCCAAAGTTCCTTTCGATTACACGGCGTTTCATTCGCTATTCTCGCTCCTTCGCTTTCTAAAATATGAACTTTCTAAATTATGAACGAATTCCACTGTTGTTGAGCCTCGTTTGCACGACCGATACGATAAATAACACGGTTTAATTGCTCGTGAAAAAAAAAAGAAGAAAAAAAACGCGCAATCGATTGCAGTTTCTCAATTTAATCCAGAAAGCAGGAGCCAATAACTGCTGTAAGTAGACCGTGTAACGCGATAAATAAATAATGTAGGATATAAAAATACTGTGCATGAAAGTTTCAAAGCCAGACTCGTCGCTATCGATAATCATTAGTCATTTGTACGTTGAAATGAATTGAGAAATAATCGGATTTCTTTCTCTCTCTCTCTCTCTTTCTCTCTCACTCTCACTTCTTTTCTATCAATTCATTATTCATGACACTTGAGAGAGAACCACTGTTCTTCTATTAATCATTTTTCCATCGACTTGCCAGCCAGAGCTCGCCAGATTATTTTGTTAATTTCCTAAGCTAATCGGTTCGTTAGCTAATTGCATTAATTTCTTCGGTAGTTTAATTAGCCAACTTCGAACAACTTCGTTAAGTATTTCCATATGAGAGCTGCCTTAGACACTGCTGTCAGCGCGGGCAAATCGTTGGGTTAGATTTAGGTTAGGTTGCATTATTAGCTCCTTACTTATAGATACAATTCGATCTCTCGACGGTTGGATTCTTTGTCAAGGAAAATCTTCTATCAATTAATTCTTGACGATGCCCAGAAGCTGTGGAAGAATTCAAGACGATGCACTTTCATGCATTCACGAAACGCGGCGAACGTGTTTACGTAACGACAGTTCCTGTGCTCTGTTTCGACCTTTTCGCTAAAGGGGGCCACCACTCGCATTCAGTGATTGCTTATTCACTTTAGCAGGGGAGCGGATATTTGTCTGTCAGACGTTAGTGGAACGCTGCAGTGTCAACGTTACGACTTCGACACGTTCAAGTGTCCCTCCTCCTTCCTCTTTGCAATGTCAATTTTCGCCTCGCGAGCGTGCTACACTTTGAAATTCACGTAGTTAACATTTTAATTAAATGCTTTTGTTAATTGAACGCCAAGGCGCGGCGCGATGAATTCAATGAGATAAAAGCACTTCCGGCAGCAGGAGGTGCGCGCGCGTCTCCGTACGGAATCGAAAGGGAAGATGAAAGTATTTAGAATGCAGTTTTTCGAAAATAAAAGCCTGTTAAGTCTTTTATTACTTCCGATTCCTTCCAGTGGCAAGAACTCCGTAGACTTTTTAAATTTCGCCGAATTTTGGAATCAATTTTTTCAATTGAAATAATGAAAGAAAGAAATTTCAATTTTTCAATATTTTTGACACCAAATTTCCTTTTTCATTCCAGTATTAAATCAGATCCAATTATTTTGTTATTATTTTGTATAATTTTAATTACACAACATATATATATATATATACATATATATATGTGCATATATATACATATATATAATAATTTTACGTTATATATACATATATATAACGTAATATATACATATATATAACGTAATATATAACGTAAATATAATATTATTATATATAATAATTTTATATACGTATATATATACGTATATATAATTATATACATATATATAATAATTTTACGTAATATATATGCATATATTACGTATATACATATATATATATACATATATTACGTATATACATATATATACATTAATTTTACGTAATATATATATATATACATATATATAATAATTTTACGTAAAATATATATATATATATATAATAATTTTACGTAAAATATATATATATATATACATATAAATATAATAATTTTACGTAATCATACAGTTATTATTGTCATTATAATTGATGCACAAAATCCGAAGTAAAAAAACAAAAGAAAAATAATATTGCGAGCAACTGGACATAATTTCACGATGTGTTTAAAACATCGACACAGTTTCGACGCGAATCTCGTGAACGCGTGAACACTGTTCGGCGAGGAATTAATTAAGTTAAATCGTCTCTGATCGAATTTGAATGGGGTAGGGAAAAAGCTACGTACTTGACATGCTTGACACATGCGTTTTGTTGTACTTTATACCGGGTGTGTCCCGTTTGTTTTTCCCGTGATTGGTGGAGTTGGTTGTCGAATTTGTATTTCGGCAAGCAGGGAACGAAGAGTTTCGACACCGGTGAACGATGAGTTGGCGAATAACCGAACCAATGAAGTCGTAAAGTCGCTGGATCTATGGCTCGCGTTACGTCCACCATTAGATCGCGCGTACCAGACATTTGTCGATCCATTGAATCTCGTATCGTTTTGTTGAATTTCATATAGTTTCGTGCATAGGAACGTGCATTTTTTTTTTCCTTTCTTCCGATCGAAACAAACCTGCGATTTCGCTTTTCGTAAAAAATATAATCTTCTCGATCGCTTCTCGTAAAAATAATTTCTGTCAGTCGTGATTTCCGGAAAGGTAACTTTATCAGTCCAGTGTATGACAAAAGGGAATAAAAACTGGGGCAAGTTGAATGCATTAAAAAATTCTCCGTCACGTTTTCTCTTTCTCTCTAACACTTCAGTAGTATAGTTCTCTCTCCACG